AACCAGTATTTTTACCTTATAAGGCTTATACATAATTTGTTTGTAAACGGGTCACAAACACAAGTGCCCCACAGTTTGTATAATAAAAGTTTTAGCCACGTTATATTTTTTCTGTCAATATATAACAATGAAAGGTCAGAATAACACATTTACACGTATAGATAAACAAAATTACTTCAAAAAGTGGCATATCTTTGGGGGTTGGAAGCGTGGGTGTAAGGTTTGTGACGAATGCAATCACCATTCACACCTATATTGCAAAACGTGTATAGGCGATGTGAATGTGAAAATTCTCTAAGAGAATCGATTATCGTTATGCCCTCGGATAATTACTGCTACGTGCCAAAATTTTTTAGATAATAAAATTTAATACGTGAAAAAATTCATGACCCTGCTTAAGCATAATTTATTTGTGAGACGGGGCACAGGCAGTCACCAAAGTGCTATTTTTCCGAAATAAGTACTGAAGTACCCTCGGTCAATTAGCTCACGCCAAAAATGGCAAGATAACTTGTGATGCCATAATTTGTCTTCAATCACATTTTCGTTAAATTTCACATATCTTAATATCAAACTCAACTTTTTTTTCTATTCCTCTTTCTCAACTTCTTTTTTACTGAATAAAGGTTGGGAAACATTTTTTTCATGAATTATGAAATTTTAGGCGCGATGATTAGCACTTGTGTAATATGGACCTGATAAATGTACCACAGAATTTATATAACTATACAATGTCTAATCCTAACAAACAACAATCCTATGAAATATACCCGGGTCGTGCAGGCAAGTGCATTAGTGGCAAACAGAGAAAAGCTAAGGCATTGATCATGTTTTGTTATTTATAGCCCTAATAACATATTTGAAAGGGCGTGAATCCAATTTTTGGTCGTACATGGAATTTTTGACTCTAAACCGCACTATCATTATCGAATCGCCACCATTTACAAACAATTGGACAGGACTAAATGGCACGTGGTTTAAACGATTTGTGCAAGCATCGGAAGAGCTGGGTCCGGTATCAACCGCTGTCGTGGAAGAGAAAGTAGTATGTTCGATTTAATTGATCAAAGGGTACCTCCTGACAGATGTTACCTGACTGCGGAGTATAGGTAGTTTCCTAGCCCAAGTGATAGTGAAGGACAACTCCTGACAGGTGTTACCTGAATCCGGATTATGGGAGGTTTTTCCTAGTCCTCACTATTTGCGATATGATCTATTTTGTTTTGGCTAAGGTGTTATAAAGCTTCTCGTTATTATATTATTATTATTGTATTATTATTATTTTCAATCTATTATTTCCAACAGGATGTTCGTCTGTACTGGGAGGATGTTATAGATGAGCGCAAAAAGGTAAGTGAAAAATCTTTTCACACACAAATTATATAATTCAAAAACTCATGACTAAACTATCAACTGTAGAATCGCGTAAAAAGAACTTTTCGATCAAAAGCTTTAGATATTTATCAAGTTGTAGGGGAAAATGTGGGTGAAGAGATTCAGGACGAATTCAAACCACCGTCGAAAAGGCTCAAGAAGGATGAACCAGAAAAGATACCATAGCCGACAGAAGTATGGTTAACATTTTTATTCTTAGCGTATTTTATAACCTTGTATTTTGAAAGTTGTGTAAGAACAAAGTGGCTACTGAGGATTTGTAGTTTGTGATTAAAGGTCCTTACTAAATCTTATGTTTCTGTCTATTGAATTTTATGGATCTAAGGCATCACTTACCGGGGCTGACCCAATAGAACTCGAAAAAGTGTCAGATAAATCGTCTTTAAAACCTCTCAAAATACTTTCAACAGGATCGTTTATTGATTTGAGAAAAGGTGGAGGTTATTATTTAGACAAGACTCACTTCATCTCTAAAATAGAGGATCTTAATGTTCGTGCCATCCTTTCTCTACGTCCTCGTCGCTTTGGAAAAACATTATTCCTCTCCACTTTGTCGTCTTATTACGACATAAAGAACAGAGAACAATTCAAACAAATTTATACATCGGAAAAAAACCAACATCATTAGCAACATCATTTCTCATCCTCGAACTCGATTTTTCTGGACTTCGCACTAACGAAACATATGACATCTTTAATGCGAACTTTCACACAAATTTGAATATACATATGTCGTGGTTTATGGACCGATATCAACAAGAGTTGGGACATTATTCCCAAGTTATTGATGAAAGTGCAGATGCTTTGGCAAATTTCTTGAGGCTATTAAAAGCGGTGCAATCAAGTGGTCACGAAGTATTTTTCTGTTTATTCAATTATCACCTCTTCAAAAAACTAATAATAATAGTGCCGAGCTAATATTCATTTACGTCTTCAGCTCTATGTTTTTATTGATGAATATGACGCTAGTATGAACGAAGCTCTCAGAAACGAAACCATCCTTCAAGATCTCACCAATCATCACAACAAGGAAAGTGTCTTCATTAAAAGCAAAATTGAATTAATTGAAAGTTCATTCAAACAATTCTACAGTCGTTTGAAGACTGCTTGTGATAAAGGCATTACCCGTGTTTTCCAAACTGGCGTAACTCCCGTTGTTGTGGCTGAATTCACTTCGGGTTTTAATATTTCAGCAGATCTTGCATTAAGAGAAGAATTTTGGGATTTGTATGGATTTAAGAAATCAGATGTTGAACTTCTCTTGGACAATGCTTTTGGAAATGGTTTTCTATTTGATGCTAAGGAGGGGGTAATAAAATGGTTAAAGGAGGAATTTGGCGGGTATTTTTTTAACCCTGATCAACCTGAAGGCGTTTTCAATACTGCTTGTATTCTGTACTGTATTCAGATGTTTATTGGACGAATGAAATATATAGACTATAGTGATGACACTTCAATTATCATAAAAAAGCTTCTTCGCTTTCCTTCCGATCCGCACACACTGCCCTCACAAACAACGTTGAACTTGATTATCAACAATCCCCTTGGCAAGTCCATTCTTACTGAAGCACTCAATCGACGTTCTCTTGAATCCAAAAATGGTATAGAACAACGATTTTGACTTATAAACATTCGTGAACTTGCCACCGATCGCACCTGTTATTATCATTCTTGTTTTATACTGGTGCTCTCACACATCAACCAAACTCATTGCAACACAATTTTCAAATCCCAAATCGTGTTTCTGAGACGTTTGCTTTGTTCATCAAAAATTGTTAAATTTGTTCTTTTTTTTCAGAGGACATCTTTTCATGTGTAATAATAGGCTTGTTTATGATTTGTCCCCCAGGGCCATGAATATTTGCATGATATTTAGCGGCATTAATTGCATCGTTTGAAACCTTAAAATATAAAGTTTAAAGTAAATAATTCATAGTTATATATTTGTTATACTTATTATAAAATAACCTCAAGATTTCTTCGTATATAAATGCATTTGCAATTATAGACAAAATGTGGTACTTGCTATTACTACCACAAATATTAATATTCAAGAAATTTTTTAATGCATTGCCAGAAAGTATCAGTATTATTTTTGTTTTTTTTTAGTATTGGAATTAAAAATCCAAGAGTATATAATGTTGTTAATATAGCTTTATCTGCTTTTGGGTTCATTGATCTAGACCAAAATCTGAACTAAATAAATAACAATAATAAATTATAAAGTAATAATTATAAAATATAATTGAAATTGCAATTAATTACATAATTTACCTTTGATTGATTTTTTTCAAATAGTGTAATTTCTACACATCCAACATGCCATAAAAAAGATTCTCATGCTCTATACTTATGAGCCTTCAATGTGTAATTTTTTGGATATAAATTTTGTAAAGTTAATTGTAACTCAATTATTGTATACTCTTGTGATAACCAATCAGAAAA